TTTTCGCTCATATTTTAATCTATAAAAATACGTGAATTGGCAAGTTACCGCAGATTCTCAAATGTACTCTTAATCATATGATATTTCTAACAGAGTTGTTGCCAAGGGATACAAAAGGTCAAAACGGGACAGAGTTTCTATTCAAAATAAGGCTGTTTGTACTTTGTCACATTGTGATACATTCTGTACTTCATTCTACTTTTTTCATAAAATTTATTGATTGTGTGCACTTTAAAAATCATCATTCTGAGTCATTCCCATGATCAGAACATTCTTTCCTCTATAAGCAGCCATTATCGCTGTTTCTTCCAAAATAAGGACATTATTTCTTCTTAATTTATGACTGACTGACGCGTACATTGGGGTTAGTCATCGCTCGTATCGAATATCGGGTCATCACTATATACAAATTGTCGCCCAATCATTACTTATTTCTTTCGGAATACTCGCCAAAACCACATCTTTTCGCGCATTTATGACAACTCCTCTACAACGTTGCTGTTCAGAAAATTTCGCAAATTAATTCCTTGCCTATCTCGTAACGGAAGTAACTGAAAGCACAATGAATGTTTTGTTTTTCAGATTTCTACTCTCGCCTCCAATTGAGCGTTCCGTTGCCTAGCAAACTAGCTAAGCGTGACAAAAGAGTGAAGATTCGTTAAAGAAGAAAAAAGTCAGCGTTATGTCTGCACCACCTTATGAGGGAGCTCCACCTTATCAGGTAAAGGTGTGATTTTAGCTCATATATTATTTCTCCTTACTGTTATCATAAGTTTCTGGTGAATGAAATGAATGGTTTCACCTTTGAGATTTTCCCCTTTTTTGGGAAAATTTGATTATTCTCGAATAATATTGCGAATTTGTCTTTTCAGCCTTATCCTCCACCACAGTATGGCGGTCAGCCTCCCTACAATCAACAGCCCGGCTTCGCCTATCCGCCTGGTCAAGTAAATTACCCATCACAACCATATCCAAATACACTCCAGCAAAATTATGGACCTCAAGGAGGTTATTCACAACCTTATGGGCAACAATATCCACAGCAATATCCACAACAGTATCCACAACAACCACAAGTTGTGTGAGTATAAATATAAAATCTTTTTTGATTTGATTGATTAGAGCCCCACAGTTTTCTAGCAATTATCCAGTTTCTGGAAGTACGATATGGCAATCAGTTGAGCTTCTTAATTAGCGAAACGTATTTATTCAGGCGCTTTTAACCATAGATCGCATATGGCGTGTCAAAAAATGCACTTAATGTGATTTCAACTGCAATATATGTACCACATTTTCCTAAACCCCGAACTTTCCCTTCCTGCAAATTTTGAAAGCACCACGGACAACTCAATTTATGGGAATTACAGCAAATATTTGTTTCTACCCCGCGCATGATTAATTTATCTAGCGGAAATCAATACCTATCTCTTGCATATGAACTTTTTTGCTTTTGAATCCTACCAGACATGCTCTCCAAC